ATCTCAGTGATTTCCGCTAGCGTTGCCTTGTTTCATCTGACTAATTCCGAGGGACGGTATTAGCATTTAAGTGTTTCTCTCCTGGCCACATGGTGCATGGTGCTTCTTATTATTCTTTATCGAGCAAATTTCTCCGCAAAAAATGCTTCATGTAGACCGCATTCAGCTGTGACGTCTTTAAAAATACAGTGTCTAACTATTGTCGTTTATTGATACGAAATTTAGCCCCGGGATCAAGTTTATATTTCCGATCAAGTTTTGTTGTATAGAGGGTACATAAGTATGTGCCGAATTCAGCGTTCACAGTGTTGTAATGTTTCATTAATGTTACCATTGATATTCATTCAATTTAAGTTCTGTTGTGGCTGCTCCCTATATGACTTAAGAAGGCAATTTAACTTACTAATTTGTGATACCAATATCGTCAGTTCCTAAGACCTTTTGTTAATTAATTCGCAATACGAGACGACATATGTGCGAGTTTATCGAATATTTAGAAATTAAATGCACATGATTTGCACAATTAACAGAATCTAGTGAAAAACCGTTGGTCTTGAATATATTGTACCTGACAATATATTTGTGTTTGTCTTTTGTTTGTTGGTTTTATCATTACAATCTAACCTATAGTAAGTATATATATATATATTGGTGCAGTTAACCATGAAATCTGCGTTTTTAATTGAGTAAAACGGCTAGACGTGATTTCCAACAACGTACATTGGGTAGGACGTAGGTCGAGTGCTATCGCACGGTTCCTGTTAAAAACTATATAGATACGGCGCCGTTATTTTATCGACAGTTTGGTCCACAGTACATAAGCAATTAACATATAAATCGTCATGTATGTAGCTTGTGTAATAATAGAGGTTCAGCACCTTGAATTTATCGGCTATTTTATCCAAAATACACAAGCAAGTAATTAGCTATAAATGAACCAGCGCGTAGATCGCTCTTAAGGAAAAAGTATCCAATAAGTTTCTGGTGTATTCAATAGTGAAACTTCAGAAGGTTTTCAATACGATCTCGGCAATATGGCCGACAAATAAACCTTGTACAACGTCGCAAAGTGATCAGATCATCTAATTTATTCACGATGTACTGAAATCAATTGTTGTATAGTCGTTACGATTATAAATAGATTATTGTATGAATTCTTAATTAATTTTCATTAATTATTACAAAGTAGTTAGTAATTAGTATTTATATATAACATTACTCTAACTGATATATCACCGTTCATTGAAGAGTTTCGAAAAATTTGTGTAATCAGGTAATTCATTTTCGTATTTTTTATTTACTTCAGTGAATTATGTTCTGTTAACATCCATTAAATCTACGTTTTGGATTAAATAAAAACTGGTAGCCATGACCTACAGTTCTGTATATTGTTTCATCGATATCTATTATGTATGTATACTGTAATCATACACAATTCAGCTGATATCATTTGGTAACCACATTAAGATTAATTCACTTTGTTTTAGTTGGCATCAATTATTCATTTTTATTTTAAATTATACACTTTTCCTCATGCTATCAACTTATATTTTTTCTGTAAATATTTGACAAGATCGCGTGCGGCGGTGCGACTCCCGGTTTTAGACTATACAACTAAAACAAAGAGAATTTATCGATTAATTGCCAACCTATACATTTAGGGAAAAAGTAGCCGATAAGTCTACTGAAGATTGCAACTTTCGAGTCGTCTAGATGCTTTGCAATATGGACGCTAGAAACAGATTACTGGGATTAGAGTTTTGGAAGGTTATATTTTGGCGCGTAAACCTTGTATAATGTCCCCGTCTCGTACGATCATCTGATTTAGTCAAGATGTACTATGACCGGTTGTTGTTTAGTCGATACGATCATCAATATAGCAATTAAGATTATCTTTATATGAGTAAGGCAGTGTCTGGAAAGAAGCTTACACGCCACAATGACATGCTGTTGGAAGTATCAAGAAAAGTAAAGACACGGATATTTTGGTGAACTAGTTAGTTCTTCAAGAAATGAAGATAATTTCGGGCACTATCTCGAGGGGCCGATCACAAAATTAGTATGGCGTTGATATTTTTGTATGCGTGTTTATATGTTCAGACGTCATGCTATTGGTTTGTGTGACAGCCGGATACTTAGAGGGTTAAAATAATTTTAATACATGTCAATTTCGGTTGTGTAAAATCATCTTTATATCAAGTAAAAGGTTAGCCAAGCAAATTCATGACAGTGAAGATACTGTCATAATAATTTCCATTTTCATTAGTCTCGGATATTGCAGAGCTGCTATGCTCCATGCCTTTCAAATTCCGGTAGAATTTTTCTTCTAGATCTAATCCTGTCGTGTAGACGAAATGTCTCGCTTATGTTAACGGTATAGAGTTTCACACTTAAAACTACCCGTTTGATGAGCGTCAATTATTTGCGAACACGGATATTGAAAAAATTCACACTATAAATACAAATGCTGTGATATTTCCAAGAAAATACATCGTATTTCTTGGAAAACCAAAACTGTGAGGTGGACGTCATCAATCACCCGAGCGTTTTAAATCGAGATAGTGGATTTGTTTTGATAGTTATGTAACACTTCATGACCCCATCGTAGAATTTTGCGAATTTAGAACAGAAGATTTATATAAACAGGATTTACAAATAAAGGAAGTTAAACACAGGCAGTCTGCAATGTAATGAAGTCTGTATTCCGAATATAAAAAAGCAAACTTAATACTTTTAAAATCTGCATGTTTCAGACTTATAAATTTGCATATTTCTTGGTATAATGACATGTGCTGAGGGCTTTAGCGGTCAATGATTATTGTGTAGTATTATATACAGGTAGAGATACCCGTTTAAAGTTTTCAAAAGACTGATTAATGTTTGTGTTCGGTATCGGACAGAAAATTGTTTGTGTGCGATACCGGACAGAGAAATGTTTGTGTGTTGGGTATTAAACAGAAAACATCTCTGCATAGTAGTGTGAAGCAACTAACATTATGTAGTCTGGTGTTTGTGAAGACGATTTGTGCTCATTTTTTTACTATTTGTAATGAATTTGGAAGTTTTTTTTTTGTTGTCGTAGTTGTTTATTTTATTTTACATATTGTTACGACTGATTACGAAATACTTTATGCTTTCAGATAAACGATTATAGTGATCAGAAATAAAGGGTGGGTGTGTGGTTAGTTCAATGGACCTCACAATATATTACTCCGCTCGTATCTTAATATTATCTCTGTTCAGTTTCAGTTTGGATTGAAATTTGAGTTTCAACTGTCATAAATTTTTCATCAATCACAAATGAAATGTTTACTTAGGAGACAATGGGCTGAAAATTCAATGATTTCTCACATTACAGGTATAGACGATTTCAAAACACGTATTGTATCCATTCCAAACGTAGTCATATATCGACCAGTCTCTATCATCAATATGTATGTTTATATACGTAGTCAGCTGTTATGCCTGAACGATTTTGATTGATATGTGATTTGTATACATCTGTTGACACGAAAGGATTTCTTATCTCATATTGCGACATGCTTTTAAGTCTTGTAACTGTTTTTCTTGTGACCAAAGCTACATATTAAACGGACAAATAGTATAGAATCATTTGTGGAAGTGATATAAAACATTTCTATCAAGTTTCAAATGCAATTAATAAAATAACTGTTTTATATATTTACATCTATATGTGTATATACAGTACTAGTGACCAAATGACTTTTAAAAGCGGAAGAAAAGCAGTTGTGTTTTATACAATGTACTGTTTTTATGTGAACATTACCAAACCTTCTGTTTATCTTATCTTACAATGTATTTCTCGAGATGATCGTGGACCGTCTGGCAAGAGTAGAATGACCGGAGTTGCCGGTGACAGACCGAATCATGTTTAACATTTTAAGGATACATAGCATGTTACCTGTGTATGTCATTAGAGATTGGTGAAATCCGCCTGCTCAGTACGACACGAGGAAGTAAAAGATAACTAACGCTTGGTTGTGTTTTAAATCATGGCATATATTCCTCCACTCTCCCTTTTTAGGTGACTAAAGTTTCTTCGTGTTGTAGGATATAACTATGAATGACCATTTTGAATGATTGAAATGTAACCCTATATTTCGTTCATCTATTTAGCATTGTCGGTCTCTGTTTTGTTTAAAGTTTCCGATTTCTGTTCGTGTATCATGTTTCAGTTCATTTTAGGATGTAATGATGCTGTCCATGTTAGCCAACGACTGGTATTACACAAACAGTGTGGTAGATTTAAACAGTGAGATATTGGTTGTCTGGCAGCAGTGACAACTTTTTTCTGTGTCTTTTCTATCTAAAGCATGTTACCAGCATGTACCTACCCGTATTTTACACCTGTACTGTATAACAAATGAGGATGTAAACGGTAAATCTAACATTAAATTCTTACTTAGTTTAAAACGTGTTTATCTGATATTATATTACTTCCTTTCTTAAGATAAAAAACGTTAATAAGATGGCTAGCAGGAAGTGACTACTGTGTTAACTTCATTTAACTAGATTACCATTGCATTAATATACCTGCCATGTGGCAGCCGTGTCCCTAACAAGTCCAATGTTTACTCCAGCTCATTTAGTCCATATTTGTTTATGGTAGCTTGCGAATCATATCCGTTGTCAGGTTCGCCTTGATCGTTCACATACCTGATGTTGTCAGTGAGATCACGGTATCAGCTAAGGAATGTTTTATGAGCCGTAAGATAGACCAATAAACTACATAGGGTGATGTTAACCTTAGCAGTGCCCAGCTATTGGCTACATGGCAGACGATCGGTTCCGCTCGAGTAATTCCTCGTTGACAGACTTATGAATGAACGTTAGGACAAGCATTGTCACGGCCTAACGAGTCAACCAATCGACAGCAAGGTGCACGATAATTGGCGAAGATGAAATATGAACATTACGGCATAGGGCACGTGGCGGTAACCAATTACAATTTCTTTCTAATTGCAGCAGGAAATTACGTGGATTTCCGGCTCGAGCACGTGAAGCAGATAAACAATACGATGCCTTCCGCCAGTCCATCGCAATACGTAAGTCATCTAACTTAGGCCTCTACCGTTTTATTAGATTGTAAAACTCAACATTGGAGACATCGATGACATGTATTTTTCCACAATTCCTGCATACTCTAAGGTATAACAAACATTCTTTTCAATGATGTGTTTATTTCATAATTACATATGCATTGCATATGCATGTAGAAAAGGTTCAACAGTTATGCAATCTGCATACATAATCATTTTATATATGATTTATGCATGATATGTGATATTGATTTTCTTACCTTAGATATGCAGCCTTATCGAGGAAATGGACCACAATGTTCTTCAACCACCAATTCTGATGGAGGAGTCACCAGATCCCCCCAGCGACTGCCGACGCGGTGGCTACCATCAGAATACTCTGGACATTGAGGAGATTCTATGTGATTATAACACTGAGTCGGAGTTGCCGAGACAAGGAAACTGTTATCAAAACTCTACAGGAAGTATGCCCTCTTTTCATTCATGGAACTATTCTCAACTTCCTCAACGAAATATCAATATCACTAACTGTGCGCCGAATACTAACATACCAAGTGCACAGGCAAGTTATGGGAACATCGGATATGGACCGACTCTTGATTCATCTAAACAAGACACGAATTGTTGTTTGAACTATCAGAATAAAAGTTTCCACTTTGACAGAGAACTCAGTGTTACATCACAACTGTGTTCACAATACGACCAGCGGCTACAGACAGGGGACCACAAAATAGGTAAACAAATTTATCATGTTATTTGTGGAAAAAAAACATGTATTCCGATTTTAATTGTTCTAAGTAATCGTATTTCATTGTTTGCAGAACAAATTTCAGGTCTCAAAGACCGATTACAAACTCTGCCGCTTATTCTTGTTTTCACATATCGAATATATGTTATGTAAATGTCGTAATATTTGAGATAACCTATGAATTAACACAAACATTTGATGTTTGAATAATATTTTAGACATGCATGCTTGCTTTAAACATGGTCAGTGTATCTCTCGTGCATTACAAATGCTTTGCTGTTAATAGTTTGGAAAATTACATGTTGAATGCCCCCGTTTTTTTCATATTTCACATTATGCTTAAGAGTGGTACATGGATATCAAACAGCGCAAGTAGCATTGGATTTACTTTCTTTTCGCTAAATAAGATATCAAAGTGTTTCTGTTAACATGCAACAAAATCTTCCGCATTTTCAGGTATTCACAACCAAAAATATTTCTGCCAGCAGTTATAGCAGAAAATTAGAAATGGCGCGAAATGTTGATTTAAGCATGTTGTCTTTGGAATACAGCGCTATTAATTTCTCATTTGTGAAATCAATGCACATTTCCGTCAATTTTAACTTTAGTTAATAGGTAGCTCCATGGTAACCGTTGTATATCTAGTATCTTTCTACAAACCATACAAGCAGCTTGGGTAAATATGTAGATGTAAATTTGTGTGTAAGCCAGTAATGCTATTTCTAACGGTATCTATCTCGCGAACAAATAACAAATAAAAAAAAAACGAAAATTATCTAATTCATTTTTGATCGTTCAAAATACATTTTGTTTTCAACTGCAATTTCTTTCCTGCGAACGCAATCTTAACATTTCTCGCGCGATGTCAGGATTTCATGTACATGATGATTTTAAGCACAAACAGGAAAGCTAGAAGAGAAAAAGTCTTCTTTATCCTACCTTTATCGCTATATGATGTCTGACGGAAATAATGACTGGGAAAATTGCGAGTGGTATACCATTATAGATCACTGGTACGATTGCAGTTAGAAAGTTTAGGTCATCTGAGACTCTGCGTCGTGCATCGTGAACTTTTAAAAAGTTTCAACTTGTTCTGGAGAACTCCGGATCGGATTTCAATGAAATTTTACAAAAATCTTCCTTGGCCTAAGGCACACCAAAATTGTAAATTATATGATCCCTACCCCCCAGGGGCTGTTGGGCGGGGTCAAAAATCGGTCAAAATGAATGAAATTTCAAAATTCTTCTTTCCAACTCCCAGGTATGTTAGAATCAAGTACTTTTCATGGATGGAAAGGCTTTCAGACGTTTTACCGGAATGGTAAATTTCATGACTCCAAGGTCTCACATTTCCCATAGGGGAGGGGGTAAAGTTTACTATAGTTTATATAGGAAAATTATATTTTTGAACATTATTTGTTTATGTTGTATTGGAAATAGTTCAGACCTGCTAAGAATTATTTAAGATGACAGTTTAATGAGATGCAAATATTGACCTTGGATTGAAATTTCAAAATGTTTCTCCTCAATACCCAGATAATATAGAACCAAATACTCTTCATGGCAGGATGTGTCTTGCGATGCTTTATAAACATTATAAATTTCATGACCCTAGGGTCTCACATTTCCCGAGAGGAACTATATTTTGTATAAGAAATTACATTTTTGAGCATGATTTGTTTCTTTTCTTTCCGAAATCGTTCAAACGTGGTTAGAATTTATTTTCTATCGGTATGAACTGACTGTTTGATGAGATGCACATATCGACCTTGACTGACTCCCAGAGGCTGATGGCCGGGGCCAAAATTTGTTCAAATTGACTGAAATTTCAAAGATGTTATACCGTTCCCGATTTTATATTGGAAAATTCAAGTCTTGATTGAAATTTCTTGTATTCAAAATTGGTTAGAAGCCTTAGCTTGGGATAGCAGTATACATAATTTACATCTGCATCATGTGTACAAATAGTGAAAGTTATCTGACCTTTTTAACAAAATCATTTCTATGACATGTTACAAGAACCATTGTGGCTCAGGTGACTGTAAAGGCCCTTGGGCCTCTTGTTGATCTTAAATATGTAAGTCATTGTGGTTATGGTAGTGTGCAGTTACCTGACTTATAAGGCCGTCAAAATGAATATGGTGTAAGATAATGCCACCAAGATGTTACCCACTACATCCTTTATATGAATGTGACCCTTCTTATAGCCTGTTATTTATTAATATCAAATCATGATGAGGGTTAAGGACTGTCATCTGGAAACACGAGGACTTTAATGAATGAAAAAGTATGAAGGTTGAAAGCCCACTTAGGTTCATTCAATGGTGCGTGGACAACAGTCATAAACGAACATGTTGATTCTAAGCTGATTGTAAGGAACATTATACCTGTTAACATAAAATAGTACTACATAGCATTTTTAATGTCTTCAACCTTATTTGGCCATTCTCGTTTTCTCAACCCCTAAATAGGTTATGACATTCCACGTTCTTAAACTTCGAGACGGTTGATGTCGTCTGTCTTTTCGTTTTTTCTAGCACACTTTTTCTTGTCTTCTTTTTGAAACCCAGTTTTATTTGTTAAACTTATTTGGTTCGTTATCTTTTATTTGAAATGTCCTCTCATTTCGGTCTCCTTGTTCACCTGACGTTGTGATTTCTTCATCTTCTTCTTAAAGACTCCCAGATATCGCCGTGTCTGTTCTTCATGTCATTATGTTGTTGAGATGTTGTTTGTTTACAAAATAAAAAAAAGTTTTTCTTATATATTTCTTTCTTAAATATTTTGTTGATGTTGTTATTTTAAGTATCGTACATAGGGAAGAGATATACAATTGTAACATTTATAATTTTCCAAGTACACTGACTATAACATTACTGTCTCACCTTTACTTTCGTCCGTGTTTCTTCCAGCATATAATATTTACAAATAAAATGCAAACTGATTAATTATAAATAGCATGCTTATCTTCTAAACATTTCTAGAGATGAGATATCCTTACTTGAGATATGCACAAATACATTCATATTATTATGACACAATCGATGTACCTTCAAACAAAATTATAATTAATTGTTTTCGGTTTATGATCGATTCTTACCCCCATTTCTCTCTCTCTCTCTCTCTCTCTCTCTCTCTCTCTCTCTCTCTCTCTCTCTCTCTCTCTCTCTCTCTCTCTCTCTCTCTCTCACATATCTCTGGAAGTGCAAGTGAAAGTGTGCGAGAGTGTGTCTTAATTGCATCACATTTTGTCATTGTACATATTTTACTGTTTTCTTATTTGTCTAGTAGCCTCCGGGCTGTATGCATTCCCCGTTAAAGAAATAAAGACTTAACCAAAACAAAGACACGTACAATCTTTTTATAGCTATGATATTAAGCTCTAATGAGGAAGTACCTACATGGGAAATGACACTAAGATTCTGGGCTTCATACTGGTTCCTGTATCGTACAAGTAATTTTTCATTGAATTTTTACTTATTTCTTAGTATTACGTAACCGCTAGTGGCGCACCTGTCTTTTAAAGTAGTAAACTAAGTATGCCTAGTCATCTAAGATTTTTTCATAAACCGTTTAGATCTGCAATTATCGTATGTCTAGGTTAACAATATAAACAAATAATTCGCAACTACATTGTAACTTTAGTATGTAAAACTTTATCAAAACATTCATACACTTTTATAGTCGTTAACTTTGTTAACCTGCCTTGATATTAGCTTTTATCGCTGCAATTCATTTGATGTTTCATTCATAGGAACCTGAATAATTGAATCGTAATTTTTATTATCGTAATAAAATCGTAATATATAATCTTATCATATTCAGTTTGAAAAAAAATTGTTCAATTGTTCAATACTTATTGAAGACAAAGAAAAATGTTTGAAAAAAAACCTTACAGAATATTTGATATCAAGTCAACCCTGGTTGCCTTGTGTGCTTTTTGGTTAACACGGTTAATGAACCTTAAACATGTGTTCTGGCTGGTTACTACACAGACTCGCCTCCTTGTACTTTGTTCCGTAACAAGTTTACACGTGTAAGGAACGCCCTTCACGTGATCACCTTGTCCACACTGCTGTTTATACTGGGACTCTTTACTTACCAACTCTTGATCTTCTAAAGGGACAATAGTTTGCTGGGATGATAAATCACACTCTGTAGTGTTCTAATATTGTCATAAACTAATATCCTAAAGGCTTCTTTAGAGATACATTGAATCAGTATATATTCGCACTGTATTACGTACTCACAATTTACTATTTCCAAATACTGTGAAACGTTATATGAATACCACTGCACTGATAATGTATGATATATATATCATTTTCCTGAAAATTGCTTTTGATGTCATTTAACACAAGTGTGTAGAAAAATGAATGTATATATTTGATAGATTTCCATTTACAATTACTTTGATATGCAAGATAGTGTTTCCTAATTTGAGGATTTAAAAACATCTCGGTCAATCTCCATTGTATATTCAGGTAAAAAAACCTCATTGTTCAAATGTTTTGTTAGCGCTATGACATAAAACTTTTTACTTATCTTCTATTAATCATGGGTGTGATTGTTCATTTCAGAACAGGAAGGCCAGTCTTGGAGCGGGAAATCCCCTGAAAGTTGGAACGCAAAGCATGTGCTGGATTGGCTATTTGATGTAGCAGAGAAACAGCAGTTAGATTGTTCGTTACTGCATGCAGAAAACTTCAGAGGAGTATCGGGAGCAGACCTGTGTAAAATGGGAATGGACGAGTTTCTACAATTAGAGCCAAACTTTGGCGGACTTTTGTGTGATCAATTTAGAAAACTGCAGGATGGAAGTAAGTTATAAAAGAGATAAGTTATGAAATTGTTGAAAAGGTTATTACACCATGTCAACTTTTAAATAATCTCTTTATTCAAAGTTAACAATACGGACCATGTGAAATTCGACAGTTATAATGTTAATTCAGTGACAGTTGAAGGAAGTGAAAATTAATTGAATCATTATAATGTCTCTGAAGACTGCCACTTTACAATCCATTATCTGTACTTCCGTGGGAAAATGCTTCTCATGAAAACCATGTGAACATTTCTATTATACCTGTTTCTAAGAACATTGGAACTTCACGTGTAAAATGCATTCGTGCATATCTCCTGCGAAACGAAACTCGCCTAATTCATGCACTTTCGTTGATAAAGATGTAGAAGTGACATATGGTGACTGAAGCATGACTGCTTAATTAGGTTGCCAGGTAGAACACGAAGATGTGATACGGCCTCTCATGTTCCCTTTAAATAAAACGATAAAATTAATAGACCTGTCCAGCGCATTTTATCAATGATCTTCACATTTCCTATTAGTATAATAGAGTTGAATTTGATAAATTGTTGAATAAAATTGGAAAATGTGATATGTATCTACTTACACGTTAATGATACTATACAGCGACGTTAATGTAAAGTTTAATACCGATCTCATAAAATAGAACAGCTGATATGATAAATGTATGCAGCTTAAGTCTTAAACGTTATACTTTTTTAAGATGATAAACTCATAATGGCTTCCACATAGTCCTCAGAATATCAAATATATTGTTTTCTATATCCTCTGTACCGATGTAGCTTAAAGTTAAAATTATTATAGGACATTAACAGGGTATAAACGTGTTCCATTACATGGATTGTATTTGGTATATAGAACCAAAATTACCTTGATAACATCATTCACGATGCTGTGTTTCAGTGGGTTACAAACATCGTTTGGATACCAGTACACCTATGACAGACGGGACCGATGATTCCTGTTCTTCACCTCTCAGTCTTTCCTCCTCCCCTCCACACTTTCAAATGGAAAACATGTCCAGGAGTTACGACAGTTTACAAGGTAGCGAGTTATTAGAGTTTGTTGATGAGAAGTTTGGAACTATAATGCCACCTCACGTGGAATATTCATATTAATATTTGCTACAATGTAGTTAAGATATACTTGCTATATGTGAAAAAAGGATTAAACTCTATATTTATACCTTTGGCGTTTATTAAAACGTTTAGTTGTATCCTAAGTAACATTTTCATTAAGAAATAAAAACATTTTCCCATTACAATGCATGTTTTATTTAGTTGAACAATGTGCAGTAAATATATCAAGTGTCGTTTTCAAAACAGAAAAATATTGATTTTGATTTCGGGTGAAAATACATATTAAATATATTTCATGACTACAAGAAAACAAGGAAATGACACCCAAGACATTTCATTCATAAAACAAAACTTGGCCATCATTTGTGCTACTTGCGTTTTAGTATAAGTTAAGGAAAAGTCCAAATCGTCTTATCATCGAAATCTAAAACTGCTCGTCCCAAAATATCACAATAACTTTTTATAAATAAATATTAAAATGACCATAAAATAAAATCTAGATAATTACATTTTATTTCTAAAATGAAGTGTTTATTGTTATCAGATTATCAGTCGTGTAATGATCTCGGGAAGCTTGAAAGACAAGAAAACATGTTTTACCCTCACCAGCAGCAGCCACAACAGCCGTACGCATGCCCAAGGCTACCACTTCCTCATCATATGCAGGCAAGGCATTGTAAGTATTCTTTCGAAGGAATTCAAATTTTGAAAAAAAACTTTTTAAGTTCATGTTAAAACAAGTATATATAATATATGTGTGTCAACGTAAACACTGCCTGGAGTTTAACAACCCGGCTCTTCATTAGATGTTTATATAGAATTTCAAAGAAGATCGTTTTGTTCCCGGTAGAAGTTACCATTAATTATTTCACTGGTGTGCACTACACTGGATACCATATATGTTGTAGAGTGTGTGTTTTAATCGCAGAAAACTGAGACATTTTGTTGCTGAAAAATGAAAATAGACATGTATAAGAAATTTTTGACAGAACTACTGGTATATCTGCACTTTGGTGCCCGTGAATGTAAAGTAAGTAAATATATGGACAAAGTCCTCGGACTGCACCAAATTAAACGTTACTAATCTGAACGCTACAAATACCATTATAGTTATAGGTTAACAAAGTTTAAGAAACTTTATTACAGGAGTTATTACTTATGTTTCAATTTTTATTCATTATTTGAATACATTCGCTGATTCTGAATATAACAGGAACTATTTGTGTGTTATGATAAGTTGTTTTCTCTACATTTTCAGCATTTCCCGGAGCAACTCCTTCTGTATGTAACATGAACGAACGCCAATGTATGTACCAACCATATTGTCCAACAACCCAAGGGGCCAACCAGTGCACTATGCCTTGCGAGCTGACATCAACGCCTATTCCAAGACGGCGGCCAGGTAGACCAAGGATCAAAAGCCTACCAACAGATGAGGAAGCGCAGAAAGAGAAAAAAGGTGAGCTTGCACGGATTAGTGAAAGCTTCTGATCAGATAAAGCAACGATAATCATGAAAATAATTTTATTAAATCCTAGTCGTATCACTTCCGTTCTGCTAACGCGATACAATTTAATTATTGTGGACTCAAACTTAATCTGGCGTTGTCAACGTATGTATTATTTTCCCTATTGTATGAAGGGACACTTTATGCTATGTTTGGCACGCATTTTCCTTTTTGTCGTCCTCTCTGGAGTCCACTGCTGATTCAAGCTGTATAATATAGCATTTATACAAGTATAACACCAAATGAATTAACTGGATATACTTTCTGCAAGTAAAAAGATTTTAGTGTGTTAAATTATAGTTTTCTGTAGCCAAATCGTTTCTTGTTATTTTCAGCTAAGAATCAACACCTGTGGGAATTCATCTATGAGATTCTGATGAATCCATTATATAACCCTCAGTATTTACGTTGGGAGAACCACAGGGAAGGCGTCTTTCGCTTCGTCCAATCAGAGGCTGTGGCACAATTGTGGGGCAGTTTGAAAAACAACGAAAACATGACATACGAAAAACTGAGCAGGGCAATGAGGTGGGTGTGTAATAATGTAAACTGTTATCGGAGTGTTCATTGTCGCATGGATCACCTTCACCCTGTATTTTTGACCTTTTCGATTTATACGTACATTGCGATAAAGAAATTGAGAACTTGCCTCTAGTTGCAAAAAATATATCTTTTGAACATAAACTTTTCTAAAAGGACGAAACATACGTATAATGTAGTTTTACTTTTTTGTCATTACTGTATTCAATCGTGAATTTCTTTTGCAAGATACCATTCATTTGCATCTTTTGTACAATTTAAGGACGTTATTAAAGAAGGTTTTTTTAAATTTGTTCTTATAATACTTTGCTATATTGCATATGTTTGAAAACCCCAAACTGTTGTAATTGCAAACACCAATCGTGAATATCTAACAGGATCTTTGTAATTGTCAATGATAATTAATGAATCAAAGCTTACACCTTGTAGCATTTTGTACCTGTAGGTTAAAAAAAGCTCATTTACTGTAAAGATGTTCAGGACCTCAAAACAGTAACTGACAATAAATGTTATGATGATTGTGGCATCAGTAGTCTGAGTAAGGATTATCTCCCGTAGTCTTTTATTGATTTAATGACAAAACAATTTATTTAAGGATAGAACAAAGTGCAATATCAGTTAAATCAATTTATGGAACTATGTCGTCTCTATCCTTACAAGCAAAAGAAAACTCTTCCATTGAAATTGATCATTCATCTTCATAGTAACAACCATATGACGCATTTACCATGTATCCATCAAGATCCATGTTTAAACCACATATGTTAGTCATCAGAAACAATTCAATTTCATTGTTAATGTTGTTGGAATCTACACACTGCATATCATACGATGACGTGTCAATGGCCACCAAGTAATTTGTCGTTAATTGCATGTCATACAGTCAATTATATTAAAATTATATATTGCATACGGCTATCAACAGATGACTTGTTTTGTTTCAGACATTACTACAAGAGAGGTATCTTAGAGAGGGTAGAGGGACGAAGATTGGTGTACAAATTTACGAGTCTGGCTATGGAACGTGTCCGAGAAAAGAAGTTATCATTATAGCCTAGTCAATAAGTCTCAAATACATATTATATCACAACAACTGGAAATGTACTGTTATTTATACGTGTTTAGACGTTCATCATGTAAAGTTATTTCTACAAACAATTCAATGTATGTGTTCACTTCATAAATGTTTGAAGACATTTGTAACTATGAATTCTGATACAAAATAATACTGCAATATCTACTTATGTTAACACGTCGCGTGGATGTCACAAATTACGGTGTAAACATAAACCATGATATAGAAGTCTGGACAGATAACAATGATTATTGCATATCAATTAGTTATGGGAGACTAAATTTCTAATTCGATCTAAAATGACGATGAGATAATCTTTTGATCTTGGTGTTCCCTAATCACATCACAGTCACTGATGGTTGTGTCGGATATATACACAGACAATTTGTTCCTTGAATACCTAATGCAATGAAGGCTAGAGGAATGTCAGGCACAAGGCCTAGGTCAACTTGATATCGAGGAGGATACTCTTAATTCACAGCTGTTTGATATTTTCGTCTCAAATCTAACGAGCACAAGGAAGTCAATTAGCTGGATAAGCTAGCTAAGTAAAGACTTTGAGGCAGTATATCTCCTGTATTTTGCAATATATTTCAGCAGTTGATCTGCTATCTTTTTACTAAATATATACATATTTTCTCTGATTGTTTTAGTGACTGTTTAATTGTAAATAAGTACAGACTGTGAGGATCATGAAAATGCGGAAAGGTATATAGTATGGGTGACTGATCAGTCTTAACTTTGTACGAAGGTTTGTTTGTTTTGTAATTGATTGTTTGTGGCAAGTATAAATGCAACAATGTTTTTGTTTAAGAAAAATATGTGTTCTTAATTTTTTATCTATTATTAGGTCGACGATTTTTTATGTTATGAATATGAAAATAGAATTAATATCATAACATCTCAATCATAAGCACACGAATTTAAAAGAAGATTGTGACCTGTTGAGACCTTGTGATGTATTGCATTGACTTATTGTATAGTCATATGAACTTATAAAAATTATTTATTTTTTTTCGTGTATTCTCTATGTGATAGGGTAACTGAATGTTATATGTCATGTTGAGTTGTTTTGTTTTTTTGTCATAAGATGACACTAATTTCACCAAGACTGTTAGAGACAAAACACGGTTTCCTCACTAAAACAACCGTAAATTTCGCTTTGTCTCGTTTGTATATTATAATTTGCTAATTGAACATTATATTATTCACTGATTTTGATTTTAATATCCTGGGTTGATAATGAATCACATAGAATTAACGTTTACAAAAAAGAAAAAGAAACATCTAAAAAGATTTTCCCATAAGCATCATGATTGACGGAAATATGCTTGTATATTAGATAAAAGATAAATACATTTGTAAATATACGTTTCGAGTGCCTGGTAAAAGGTCATTTGAAGGGCGTTAGGATATAAGGGGTGTAATGGGAGGATTGAGGCATATGGACCTTAAGTTTTATGAGTTTCTGTTCACAGGGTTAAAAACTATTGATATATGAATTACTATACCCTCATAACATTGATATTACTTTAAAAACTGATAGGGTATTCAGAGTAAAAGAATGTACATTGCATTCACTGAGTGTTTTCTTTGTCTGTTCGGAATGGCTAGTGGCGGTGTGCAAAGCGCCCGTACATTTGTATGTCCGTCTTGATCAAGGTTTGACAGTCCACTATGTCTTATCGTAACGTAAACCGAAGATTGCCGAGATTGATAAACATCGGTAAACATCGGGATTTAGACAGGAAGTCATTAATTACATCCCAAATATCTTAATAACGGTAAACATTTTGTTGTGTCATCCAAATGATTACATTGCTGTTTATTTCAACAGGTCATTAGTAATGCTGGTATCTTGAAAATTATTTCGTTAATACGGACAAGCAAGTGTAATGTTTATTATATAAAATATCTAATTCCATTTTCATTTAGTTAAATAGGTTCAAATGTGAAAACAGGCCTAGTCTTATTTGTGCACATCAAATAATGACTATTTCAAAAAACTAATAAGGTGAAAAGAATGCAATGTAAAGAACAGATTATTTATTCAATATGTTTAAGGTATATGGCACATTCTATAAAATTGTTCTTTTGTGTTTACCTTGCAGTACAGTATAAATAGATTTTCTACTATGTAAATATTTTTTTAATTATTTTTTTATTACTTATTAACATTCCAAGTATTTTTAAAGCGAATATAACTATTCATACCAAATCCGGCAGAGGCAAAAACACAAACCAAAAATAACTAACCGAAAATTTAGATGTAGAAAACTCTTATCAACAAATTTGTGACTTCGACTGATACAGTTCACGTTTAATATGCTAACAGGTTTTATCATAAATGTACATGCATCTTCATCAGAATCTCAATATTATGTTTGGACAATATATTATTTTTGTCATTTTACTGGTGAAAAGGGTAAAATTGTCTTTTATTTCTCTAATAAAATACTTGTGTAAAAATCATGATATTACAATTATCTCCATTGTTGGGACACCGTACTGCTTTTGTGAGATTACATAAACGATACCAATCCTTGTTGATATTGTGGCCAGGATACTTTATCCTATAAATACATGTATTTTTCCATTTCTATTGAAGTCATGTTGAAGGAAATAGTAACTAGTAAGTTGTCCTCGTATGTTTCACTTTTCGGAGACAATTTCTCAAGTCAGATCGGATGTTTTCATTTATATGTAACGTTTAATGTTGATAACTTTGTATCAAATATTTCTATGTATTTTTATAATTCAAATATCTACATCAAGTGCTGTACTCTCTTTTGTGCAAATTATTCAAACCGGTGCCCTGCTCCTTTGTTAAAACATGTTATCCAATGTTATTGTAATAGTACACATGCATCAGGACCCTATGGCCAGAAAATATCATTGAGGGAGGAAGGCAAAGTTCAGAATGCTGCAAACATTTTCACGTTTTGTCTTTCTGTAACTAAGAAGAAATTGATTCCTAATGATATATTTTATATATCCCTATTGAGATATTTTGTTGTTGTTGAATTGAATGTCAGATGCATTGAGAATAAAAAATTTAACTTCATTACGAATTCTTGTCATTTATATCTTGTTTTTTAAACATATTTGATTTTATATCGCGTATTGAATTGAATTTTTTATTTGATGATATTCTGTATTTTATGAATCTGTTCCTTTTCATTTTTCAATAACATCATTTTCTTTTCCTTAGCTTTGCCTCATGTTTATATGAGTATTAATGGTCATTGAAAAAAAATACATTCTGAAAACAATAATTCTTAATATCAGCAGTATATTTTGCTTTGTTTTGGTTAAGTACGGTACAATACAGATGTATTCCATAATTGTTAACAACTAAAATGAGAAGATTTGACACAATTCCAATATGCTTGTGTACATCCTAAGATGTCCAACTCAAATCCGACAAAGTTACATCAATTCATCGCCAAAAGAACATTTATACGGATATTCCAAAAGGCATAGAGAGAACAAAAACCTTATGTTCCGTAAGGAGTAGTGTATTCTACTTCATCAACGACACCCTTGATATCAGTAATGTCAAGTTCAAAAATGTGGGCAAAAGCAATACAACAAAACTAGCAGGTTTATTAATATCAAACATGGACAACCAAAACTTCCTGCAGGGATCCTTAGGACTACAGCTCTCGATGTGTTGTGACCGTCGAGATGTTGCAGGAAAACCGTGATATTTGGACCAAGCACTTGTTCGTCGAAGCAACTGCGCCATTTAAACACGACTTGGTTGTTGAAACAGAGATTTTGCTGCTATCTAAAGTTAAGGACAGTGAAATTCAAATGACAAAAAAATTGTCATTGGTTTCGTTTTAGGAGGTAAGCAGCTAATATAGAAGAGTCTAAAGTGTTCTTGACTTTCAATTCCTCAATATATCTTAAGTGAAGTTAATACAAATATACCTATAGCATTGGAAGATGTCCCAGCATCACATACATTATAGTATCTTTGGTGTTTCCACAAAAGCAGAAACAATAATGTACATGTTCCCGAGAGTTTAGACTAATAACACTGAACAACAGGAATGTAGACACTTGAATGCCGCGTTAGCTATACCTGTCTCCTGTAGTTTACTTATCTCCGGTAATATTTCTCCACAATGATAACGCCCGCTTAATGTGTCAGAAAGACGTTTCTACGTATATCAGAATAGAACAGAAATCAATAACCATAATATTTGTACCAACTGAAATTAGAATTCTAAAGTTATTGTTTAGTCTTTAATGTGAACAACAAAGCTAATTCGTATCGTAAGAGGACCAAAAATCTAGTAAGCCAGCACATCAGTAAGGATAAATGTATCACATATTTAAACATTCCATGTCCCGAGATTTGCAGTGATCTGCTGGCATTGAGACAGCAAATTTCACGTCGGGATACCAACTTTCCTATGCCTAGTATTCTGTCCCAGCTTTGACACATCTTTAATCCCAGTTGTTACAATATCGAGTAATTAAGTCAGTTTTCCGTGGTATTCTTTCTACTTCTTATCCTGTCGGATTTTAGATAAGGTTCTCAAATAGTACTGCCATAGTATACAACTTACACAGATATAGATTTGTAATTAGTAGTACAGTAATGCTACCTCCTATCATTCTTTTGGTTACTGTTTCTTAACTCCTACTCAATTATGCGTGCGCACAAAACACTGCACCTGTAAACAAAATTGGCTTCCCGCCTGAATCGATTGGCGTTCAGTGTCAATGATTTGGTAATTCTGAAATGACTTAGAGTTATCAATTAACATTTGCCACACCCATAGTAAAATCTGTTGAGGGAAAACACGAATTTTACTGACTGTGTCACTACCGTCATTATCATTTCGGCCAGCCACCATGTGTTCGTGTTCACAAAATAAAATGCCTCGTTTTCAACACTATCGCGTGACGTTATCCGCGCTAAGTTTAGGAAGAGTTTACCCGAAACAAAAAAGTGGTCAAGCTG